GATGAATCAATGTGCTTGGAGCGAATCGCTCGAGAATGTCAGTAAGTAGCGGGTAGGAGGGCGAAGCACTTTACCTTCGCAGTACCAACAAGTACATTCGGAGTACACTTGTCTATAAAGTTTCTCGTAAGTCTTACTTGTCCATTCAAAGGCAGTAGAAAGGGCGTTTTCTTCCATCTTATCATCGTGGTCTATAAATTTCAAGCATCGAGAGAATGTATAATCGTAGTATTGTTTGGGTGATAGTTGATGAGTATGCCATGCCAAGTCCACATCCAAAGTTGGAACACAGACGTCCTTTGGATGAAGACGCATGATATCAACGAATCTCCTATACTTAGTGAGTAATCGAGTCATTGTCTCCCTAGCAGCCGGAGAATGAAGCCAGTCAAGTTTGGCCATTTTATCGACAAAGATACTCTGACGAATTACGGCTCCTCCAAGTTCAAGCGCGAAGATTGAAGAATTTTCCCAATATCTCGACATCATTTTTCGAATTGCGATGCGCTCTGCTCTCAGCACAATGCCCGTCCTGCTGTTGATTCTCCTAATGGCTGATCTATCTTTCATGGTTGCTTCGATAAGATCTCTGACATCCGTCATAGTAGGTTTCGAGTTGGGGTCTTTATCAATGAGATCCAGAATTTTTACCTTTAGCTCGACACTGATCATACGATTAGGGAAAGTGTTTTCGTGTCCTTGAGAGTTTGTCATCTCCACAGCTGCTGGGATGCCAGAAGTAGGTGATAGAATTGTGCCTCCGAGAGGATACCCTCTCATAATTAGATTTTCAACATCTCTCCTGAATTTGGCGACTCGTAAAAGATCATGGTTGATTCCACCACCACATCTATGACAGACGTAAGATAAACCCCGATCGCCATAGCCGGCACCGTTCATTTCCATGATTCTGTTAACATTAGCAACAATATCAGAGAAATCAAAATAGATACCATACTCTTTCAATGATGGCTTCTCATTAGTAGCGCATGTAGTCCATGGAATCTTCAATGTTTGAGTACATCGCGGGCAATTCAGTGTTTTTGTTAAATGATCCTTGGCATTGCTCCAATGATGTCCCGTGGCATTTGTGAATCTCTCCTTGGCTGCTTCTGGTACTTGATAATTGAAGCTCGTATCGATGGCTGTATTGACGGCATGCCATGGCATACCGGTTGCCCAGAGATCTTTCAACCCAAAACGAATACAATCTTCCAGGTAACTTCGAGGATTGAGCATCAACGAATGCCATACCATAAGGACATCTTGTTTTGATGTCAGAACTCTTTCGTCGCATGAACAGTACAAAATCTACTAGCCTACCTTTAGGGGGTAAAAGTGAAGTGCTCCAACTTTTAGCTACACCATGCTTCGGGAAATCCATAAAATTCGAGCTGATCTTCATATCATTCTCTCGCAATCTACTCGCGTTTTCTTGCTCACATAACACTTTCAACCACCAATCTTCAAATCTCTCTACTGCTCTCGCAATGTATAAAGCCCATCTTTTCTCTCGCATCACGACCAATGCTTTATTGCGATCCTCAACAATTGGAAGTTCGCAACGTGCATCCCACAGGCCGAAAATCCCATCAGTATACCCGACATCTTCTTTGAGGTCATGAAAAGTTTTCAGTAATTTGAGATGTACAAGGCATGTATCCTGATCTGGGAAAGCAGGAATACTTGATTGTGAAATTTTGAGGTTGGCAAAGGCCGCACTCAGATCTCCTTCAGTGGCGCCATAAGTCGCACTCGCAGCCGTGTAACCTGGCGGTGCTTCGCCCGCTTTGGCTGAAGGGCCAAATAGTGATGGCGAGAAGGATTGTTCAATTTGAACCGAAGGAATGTCTCGTTCGAGAGAATTTCCTTGATCCTCCTTATGGTGTAATTTGTTTAAAAGAGGCATACTAGGTAATGTAATGATGCTCTACTGCATAAATGGAGAGGTGCATTAGATCTTTGACGTAGAATCCTGATACTTATCACAAGAACTTCAAACTGATAGTTCGTTTTAAAAATAGTGTGTGCTGCAATTGGCAAAGGAAAGACAAGCAGATGATTGGGAAAGAACGATGAATTCATTCATCTTATACATATGATTGACTGGTTGATCAGAACGAGAGGTACAACAATATGTGACACCTAGGTAGCTAGCCAATGGAACGTGTGACGTATTTGCTCACTTTCTAGGTAGTAAGGCTGAGGTGAGATGAGTGGGTTGGTGTTGTGTGCTGGGCAGAAGCATTGTTAGAAGAAGGCGGGGAAGGTCAACAGATGATGTTGAAAGTCTGTCACAAATTAGATCCCCATGCCTGTCAGATGAATGCTTGTTAAATACTTATTGGATGTTTGATAAAGCTTCTCCTCCAATACACTTTGTCCACTCGTATTCCGTTGGAGGATTAGCTAGTCGATGCAGTGAAGGACATAAGGATTAATTAAGCGAAACGAAATGCAGTATGGCTTCAGGTCGATCGCTACTCGTACTGGTACTGTTACATTCGTTACTGTATTCTGCGAGCCGCTGATCATTCCCATTCTCCCTTCTCTTCCTTGTAGTCCCTTTACTGTACCCATTCTGCGCTGGGCAGCATACGGAGTACAGAATAAAAAGTGCGCAAGCAATTTCAAGCTAACTATCACGTGACGTACATAGAGCTTGGGCCAATTCGTGAATCTAACAGATGAAGATGGGAAGAGAAGGATATCTGAAATAATAAAATCGTTGATATATGAGAAACATATAAATATAAATCTATGCAAGCAACTCTTTTCATTTTCTACATCACCACTTCCTAAACTCTCCTTATCTCTCGCTCTTTACTGTCCAAACTGTTTTCCCCTGTGATCAAATGCTGCCTTCTACATGTTTCTAATATCTGTCCTTCGTTATGCACTCTCCATTCTTGTGCCTCTGTCATTAATCTTTACTTCTTACTTGTATTTGTACCCGGCATTTCACGGTTGCGCCTTTCCCTCACCCGAATATGATGCTTCGGAAGCATATGTCAATACACTTCGCAAACACGCGCTTCCAAATTTATACGATGCAAATAAAGTAGCACCATTTAGGCTCCTGGCTTTGGGCGATCCCCAACTCGAGGGTGAATCCTCTATACGAGACATCGACTCGGTCAATTTGCCCAATTTGAAGAAGTTTCTTAAAGATTCTGGAATGAGTGGCAGCACGAATCATAGCCTTTTGCAGCGCCTGCGGCACAGCCTCCATGATATCATAGACTTCTGGCTCGACGATCTCCCTAAGGCTTTCGAAGTTTATCGCAAACGATTCGATCACATTGGTAATGATTATTATCTGGGGCATATTTACCGCGCAACACATTGGTGGTTAGATCCTACACATGTTGCCGTGCTCGGCGATCTTGTTGGGAGTCAATGGATAGACGACGAGGAATTTGAGGAACGTGGGCGAAGGTATTGGAATAGGGTATTCAGACACGGAGAACGGATTCCGGACGAGGTCATGTCGCAGCCAGCTTTCGAATTTCAGGATACAGTAATACTTGGAGAAAATGCTGCGGCCTGGAAGAAGAGGATTATAAACGTTGCAGGCAATCATGATGTTGGGTATGCTGGGGATATTTCGCGGGATCGAGTTGCTCGATTTGAGCGTGTCTTTGGGAAAGCGAACTACGAATTACGATTCCAGCTGCCTTACAAAGATACTGGTTTTATTTCCACGACTGCGGGAAATGTGGATGTGAGAGATATGCCTGAAATTAGGATTGTGATCCTGAATGATATGAACCTTGATACGCCTGTATCTGACAAAGATCTTCAAGACGAGTCTTATCGATTCCTTAACGACCTGATAAGCACCTCCCATGCAGTTGAACGATCTGCACTTTTCACAATAGTCCTCACTCATATTCCACTATACAAAGACGAAGGAATTTGTGTAGACGGCCCATTCTTCGATTTTTTTGACGGAGAATTCGAGAATGGGGTCAAGGAACAGAATCACCTCTCACGCGATGCCTCTAGAGGTATACTTGAAGGTATTTTTGGCATGAGCGGTAACGCGGAAGTAGCCGGTCAAGGCATGGGAAGACGTGGTGTCGTTGTGACTGGTCATGACCACGAAGGCTGTGATATTTATCACCACATCAATCAAAGTTCGCCTGAAGAGGAACGAGAATGGAAATGCAATAGATACACAGAGGTCAAACGCATCGCAGACCAATCGGGTATTCCAGGACTGCGCGAAATAACAGTGCGGAGTATGATGGGAGATTTTGCCGGGAATGCAGGGTTATTGAGTTTATGGTTTGACAGAGACAGCTGGGAGTGGCAGTTCGAATTCGTGAATTGTGGATTGGGTACTCAGCATATTTGGTGGTTTGTGCATATTTTGGATTTTATCACAGTAATTGTGGGCATTGTCTACGGTGTTTGGAGCGCGGCGTTGAAGATTCGATTGGTTTTGGGGTTTGATGGGAATGGGAACAAGGGTGGGAAAAAGGGGAAGAAGGTTACATTCGAGATGATACCGAGTACAAGCCGTGTTGTTCCAAAGAAGTTGACGGGAAAAGCTGGCACTAGTAATGAGGAGGTTAAAGGAGTCGTTGACCGGGGTTCTAAATAAGGGAGGAGTTGTGGCGAATCCGTTGCACAATACCCCAGAAAGTGCGCAAAGGTAGATGTCTAATAAGATTTTATCATTTTTTCAAGTTGGAAAGCGGAAGTGCCGCTAAGATAAATGTATGACTCTACTTCAACTTTTTCCATTTGAAATATTCCTGCGTTTAAGTCCTATTACTGTTTTCCCATCGTCAACATCTTCTTTAGTCCTATAAGGTTCTCTACTCCTAGAGATAACATCAAAATAACTTTCTAATCGCTCAGCTAAGCACAAGTCATATATCGGTATGAGACATTAATCGTCACTCCACGCACTCACTCAAAGAGTGCTGGTGCGATAATAACTTAGGTTTGGAAAAAGACTTCATCCAATATACTAGAAAGTCACCATTGCTTTTGAAAAATGGCAAAGCTCCGAGACTAGTTTCACGGACTGTGACTGTGTATTGGTGGTTGATAATTATTTTGTGTTGTATTGGTTAGCGCGCCTTCAGACTGTTTTTGAGAGGTGGAACTTGAAAGTCTTTCGGGCCCTACAACGTTTGCTTGTACACCCAAAACTTGAGAACTTGTCCTCTTATTGATAATGTTCTCGAAAGACAAGGATGATTATCAGTATGAAGTAAAATCTGATCGGTTTCTTCGATCACTCTTCCAGTATGTTCGAGATGGAATATTACCGAGCCATTGAAGCGTAAAACGAGTGATTAGCGAACAATATGGGTACACCGAAAGGCACATCTGAGATATGCAGCACTTGTAAGACGAATCACTGGGTTAAGTACATTGATATCCATCTTCGGGAGAAAGGCTGGATGCAGATCAATGAACTTACAAGGTCTTGTGTAGGTGCTCAAAAAGTACCACTAAACATACTAATTAGTGGGCAATTGCAAATAATCGGGTTTATAGGAGTCGCCTCATCCGCAGGCAAAAAAGCAAGCTGGAAGGGAGATGCAGATCCTTTCGGCGCTAAACGAGCCAAAGGGAAGTATCAAAGAATGTCCGAGCTAACCCTGAACGCAACTTGACATCATCGAATATCGGTCGTCAAGTACCTGGCCGGCTTCGACCGAAAACCAAGCCAGAGATGCGAAAAGAGAAGAGAGGCGGTCCTGAGGTTTCCACAGATTTTGCCAGTTGTATTTAAGGATCTAAAGCCATCCCTGAATCGCCGCCAATCAGCACTAAAAGCATTTGGTATCAATACTTTCATAGATTCTGTCATAGATGTTTCGGGAGCCAAAGCTCTGAATGAGTCGATATTGGGCGAAATTAAAAACACTATTATTGACAATACATCTACAAATTCTGCTGAACAAATATTATTAGACAGGTCTGACCATATTACCATCGTAACTGTAGAATTCATGGCGATCTGCTTTTTCCCTCCTTAGGGTTCCCGACAAGACAGTGGCTAAGGCTCCCATTCAACCAAACTCTGGTGAGCGTAAGAGAAAATGAGCCAGCAAGATGAACGAGGGTTCAGATCCCCCCAAAGTACAAAATACATAGCGAATGTAAAACACATAAAAGGCATGAATAATTGCGGAGAAGTCAAAGAGGAGCGGGCTAGAGCAAAAAGGAAATATGGCTTACGAAGCCGGTAGTGCAGCTAAAGAAAAAAGTATGGAATTGATGGGTTGATGGGGCTCACGAGCTTTGTATATGATTGATGAAGAGTAACAGTGCGAGATATGGTATCTCACCATGACCTATATTTTGGCGTACGAGATTCACATCCAGAGCGGATACAAACATCCATGGTCGAGATTCAAAGCTATGAATCACACGTACCATAAATATGACATAAATAAAATGAAACAACATCAATCACCTGCTTACATATGATACAATTGAATGTACGAGGTGCTTCATATTGATACTCATATGATGAATAACCTTTACATTGAATCTTCTTATTTTGGGGAATTTCGCCTTCATTTGTCTTCTTCCCGGCCTCTGCACTTTCTCCAATCACCACCACACAGCCTCGACCTCAACAACAAAATACCGCCCGCACAGGTGATAAATCACTTCCTCAACCAATGGAGCATATTGTCAAAATGGAAAGCAACCATGGAAAAATGAGGCCATACAAAAGCATCTATGATGAAATACTTGCCAAAGCAACAAGCTCACAGTACGGCTACACAGATGAGCAAGTCAAGAGTGTCTTGGGGAACATGTACCAAAAATATGCCAGCTGTTTTAGTAACGTCAAATCATACTACAAGGTCTGGCTGGTCGAAGACTGGATTTGGATATCTTTATGTACGCAGCATCTTCAGACAACCTTTTACCTCGATGCTAATCCGTTCGCAGTCCCAAAGGAACATGGAACTCACCTTCTATCGGACGACACGAGAGAAGAGGCAGACTGCAAGCTAACGTTGGTTAGATATGCGGCATTTATGGGTTGTGCTGCAAGTGATTCAGCGTCGGCTTTCTGCAATCGATCTTATCGAGGAGAGACCAATCTTGTGGCAGCCCAGCAGCGGGCGAACGATACCGTTGTTGACACTGGTTCAGAGATGGAAGCTGAGCCGACCCTTACTTTGAACAATAGTTTTCAGAGGAAAAGGTCTATGCCGATAAATGAGGGACCACGCAAAAAGGTCAAGACAGAGAAGAGTATGTAGATCGTGGTGAGGGTGGAGGTGTTGTCTCTGAAGCCAGGGGCCGACACGAGGGTGAAGGGTCATTTGCAATTGCTGCAAATCCTAAGAGCAATGGCAGGCTTTGGGTGTAGTTTCAGACTTTCAAAACATACTCGAATGAGATATTGGCACCACAATGGTGACTATGGGAGGAAAAAGCTACCTGAATTGCCAAATTGAGACCTGCGGGGCCATATCAGACGTGGCAAGTGCCGGCGTATGTCTCAGTGTGAGCAGTGCGATATGACTTTGAATACAGAAGAAGCGTAGAAGACAGTTAAGGTTACCAAAACAATATATCATCTCTTGCTTCCTAAGAATGGAGAATGCTATCAAAGAGAAGTCTTTCTGTCAATGAAGAGTCAGCTTAGCCGAGTTTCCGACTCCCCTTTTTGAATTTCTGATTGTCCTTCTTACAGACATCGGGAAGGTTGCGATGATTCAAGATTATATACATATTTTCATGAGAGGGAGTGCGAGTTCCGGCTCGCAAGGCAAGCCCAAGGCCTAGTAGGGTTTGGATTTGCGTCGGGCCGGAGACATATCATAGAGTGGAACCATCATTTACCAATTATACGAACACTAAGTACTGCCTGCACACATATGTAATGAGGTGGCTGTCATCCTTGCATGTCTAGGCTTGAACGGTCTTGTTCTCATATATAGTGGATCTGGGATACCTTGCCTTCTTGACCTTTCACATGTCGAAATGTGATATCTGATGTTGGATGTGGCTGGTGATGTTGCTCAAGCGAACTGGTGACTTTTCAGGGTGTGTAATATGTAATAGGATGAACCCTGGTCCGAAGGATACTCCGTAAGTTGTAGTATCATGCTTGGAAAGCAAAAAGAAATGAGGTGATGTATGGTATATACCTACATACATACCTATTACTTATTACCTAGGTACATATGTACATATGTATGCAGGTGGGTAGGGTAGGACTTTTGCTTTGGTTGATTGGAAAGATAAGGTAAGCGAGCGATAAGGATAAGCTTTACGCTCTAGCCTCCATTCTAGCCTCATACATGATCAACATTTAGTTTTCCAACTTCAATTACCGTACTTTGGAATAATCTTCTTCATCGATGAGAAAATATACAAGTCTATAATAATAGCTAAATCGATTATTAAAGCATCCCTTTATATAATCAAAATTGAGGAATGTTCTACTGTGGTAAGATTACTCTCATACACTTCATCCTTTCACACACCCACACCTTCATACCTTCACACTTTCACACACTTTCACACACTTTCACATGCTTCTTGGCATCGATTAGACCTTCCCTGTTTTCACACCCGTGCGTGCTTAGCAGGACCACACCGTCGCTTTCTATCAACCCACTTGATGGCATCGTCTAAAATACACCCACCGCACACCCATCCAAAGAACAAAGGAAAAAACTATCATATGCCAATCTCCAATAATCTATCCAGCCCCTGGCGGAATACCCAATCAATCAAACGCTCACTTCGAAAATTTCAAGGTTTCAAGGTCTCAAGGTTTGCGCCTTTTGTCTAATGGTCCTGATTCGTGGCTTCCCGCCCCGTTTGCATCAGGAATGCATTGAGCACATGTAAATTCACATATCTCATCTCATATATCTACCCATTTTGGCGCATCACACATCACACACGGTTCTTGCTTGCTCCCCCGTCTCTGTGAACCTCTTACTTGACATCTTCCCACCAACCTTTTTCACTGCTTGCAACCAAAGCTTCATATCTACTCAGGAACGAATTGTCTAAGAGCAAGCAAATAGTACGTACACTCCTGCTTATCATTGCGTTTTATGCAAGGCACGAGCACCAAGATTATTATCTACAAAGAGCTATAGCATGATGGCTGGGAATCTTGGACCTAGCTGACACTGCACTCCATCAATAGTTACAGATAATCTACGCCGTATCCATCTCACTTCTAAAACTTCAGCAAAATGGCATCTCAAGTGAACGGCGAGACTTCTTCATCTGCCTTCCTCAGTGTGAGCCATTCCATGAAGGCATACACTCATTCAAAGCAGGACACTGACACTCTTAAAATATAGCATCTCACATCTTACCCTGTCGTCCACGACTCAATCTCTACCTTCAAATCCAATCCGTATGGCCAAAGATCCATTGACCTAACCACAACCTCATACGAGAAATTCGGCAAGCCATTTATCCCATACCTCCAAAAGCCCTACCAATACGTCTCTCCCTACGTTGCGAGAGCCGACGAGCTCGGCGACTCTACTTTGTCTAGCATTGAGTCCAAGTTTCCCGCTGTCAAGAAACCCACTGGTGAGCTCTACAGTGACGGAAAATACTTTGTGCTCTATCCGATTTCAAAGGGCAGCGAGGGGAAGGATTATGTCTTGGGAAAATACAATACTGAGGTCAAGAAGACGGAAGATCAGGGGATTTTTGGTTTGGGAAAGGCAGTCATTAGCACGGGATTGATCGTATCAAGTGAGGCTTTTCAATGGTTGAGTCAGTTCCTATCAGCCAAGAAGGCAGAGGCCAAGGAGACAACGAAAGAGAAGACAAACAATTAGCTAATGTTGAAGGGTGAGAAGACGCAGCAAGGCAGTGATGCGGTGCAAGATTTTAGTGGAATGATGAATATGGCGATACCCTCCCTTTCAAATGGATCGGAATGTGGGAAATGGACGACGGAATGTCGGGAATATGAAGTACCATAATTGTCGTACATTTATAAGGTTACATTCTGGATTTCTCTACCTTTCTTGTGGTATTTATTTTTTAATAAGACCAAGGATTTGTTCCGTATGTATTTTCACCCAAGAATGGCGACAAGGATTAGCTATATCTTGCTTCTAATGGATTGCTTTCACTACATACGTATTTATTTCCAACTGTGAAGATGATTACATGTGCGAGGTTTGGATGTTGTGGTACGTTGCCTGGCCGGGTAGTACGACCTTGTGAGCCTTTACCTTTGTTCAACAGGATTTTATCCCTGAGGGGGTCGGGGGTGTTTCGATACACTATATATACCTATATACATATATATGGGGTAGGAGCTAAAAGCTAGAAGCTAGCTAGTTTGGAGTTTAGAAGATCAAGAACCTCATCAACCTATCGCAAGGAAAACCCTGCATGTCGGATTTTAGGTCTGGAGTCTGAATCTGATTACATTGATGATTAATATGATAAATCATGTTGGTCTCAGGCTCAGGATCGAGTGGCTATGAACTTGGGCCATTTACTTCCCGGAGTTCAGGAGTTACTATTATTGGCTTACGTTGACGTTCATGGCGCAATCAAGCGCTTCATTATCTCTCATTCAATATTTGGCAGGGGTTCCGTCCCAGATTATTGGGATATGGCGCCGAGATTGGTAAGGACTCATCACGACATGTTCCAACAGTTTGGATTATTGATACTTCACGGTGCGGGGTTTTGGGGTGGAATGACTCGGATTCTTTGTTCGTTTTGGAGAACAACTTGTTGGTTTTGGTCTTTTATCTCCGATCCGTTGTTTGAATACGTCACGTCATATACAGCAAGTGAATGATGTCTTCATGAGGGGAAAGTTGCATAAAACGAGAAGTGGATGTCTTCGAAATAAGGAAAGATCTTATACTCTCTTACTTAAAACAACAAAACACCCACTGACACCACCAATTATTAAACTTAGCACCCGACATCGAACTCTCAGACAACACTCGATATTAAAAAAATTATTCCAATCATACAATAAAAAATGTCTTCAACTCAACCGAAAGTTCTCTTCGTACTCACTTCCCATGATAAGATGGGCAATTCTGGAAAGCCTACAGGCTGGTATCTTGTCCGTCTGCTCTCATTCTCCCTACCTCTCACACTCCTTATGGTTCTATCTCCTACCGTACCTTCCTCTATCCCCCTTAAAGACTAAAAAACTAACATCCCCTCCTTTACCTAGCCCGAATTTGCCCATCCATATGACATCCTTGCCCCTCACACTGAAATAACCATCGCCTCCGTCATCGGTGGTGCCTCACCTTTAGACCCTGCATCTATTGAAGCCTCCAGAGATGATGTTTCAGTAAATTTCTTGAAGACCCAGGAGTCTCTGTGGAAAAATACTGTCCCACTTTCAGATTTCGTAGGCAAAGCTGCGGAATTTGATGCCATATTCTACGTTGGTGGTCATGGCCGTGCGTCTTCCTTCTCTCCCATTTCTGTCACTTTGAGAATTAGGGTGCCAGATATGAATGGAGCTCACTAACTGTATGAATAGCAATGTTTGATCTCGCCCACAACGAAACATCCCAAAAAATCATTTCCGAATTCCACTCCCTTAACCGAGTCATCGCAGCCGTCTGTCACGGCCCTGCAGCCCTTGCCTATGCTAGAATCTCTTCTGGCAAATATTTCCTGGAAGATACCCCGGTGACGGGATTCTCAAATACCGAGGAGGAGAATTATGGAGTTATTGATTTCATGCCCTTTGAGTTAGAAACGGCATTAAACGAAGCCAGCAATGGCAAGTATGAAAAGGCGGCTGGGAATTTCGCGGCAAAGGTGGTCGTTGCGAGGGATGGAAAGGTTATCACAGGACAGAATCCGGCGAGTGCTAGTGGGGTTGGAGAAGCTATTTTGGCGGAGTTGAGAAAAGAGAGAAAGTGTGCTTAAATTTATCTTTGAAGGGAGATTTGCTCTATGCCGATAGCAGGGACCGAGGGGGAACAAAGTGGCCATTGCAAGCTTTGCAAGGTATGTATGGATACTGTATGAATTATAATAGACAAATTTCAAACTTTCTATATGCCTTTGTGTCGAGGTGAGATGTCAGCATGCATTCACCATAGACTGAAGACAATCTGTCGATTGCGATGGTTTCAAGCCCCGCAAAATCAAGATTTTCCAAAACATAACCTTGGAAGGGATAAGCAACTGAGTGTATCTAATCGATGACTTCTTCTGAGATATTGTAGACTCGTAGGAATAATGATTCGTCAGTAACTTATGCTACTAAAAAACATGGTCCCGAGCTAATAGAAATCCTTAAGGAATGACAGTCGCCAAATGACTGATCCAATAGACTTACAAAAGTGTTTCTCGACTCCACCCATTATGACACCACCATTATCCCAAGCCCCGTTCCCGATTTTTTTCGCCTTTCACCGTGTTGTTAAAGAGCTGACAAGTAAATTCTGGGACCAAATATGGAGAGTACGCTCGGCGGTAAGCATACCAAATATTCTCGAGCGAAAGCGATATTAATCTATCTCATGACGGTGGAAGAGAACTCCTCACTCTGTCGAATCAAGATTTGGAAAAAATAGACAATTGAGTTTACTCATCCTCATGTCTAATTCAAGTGCTTCGAAGTCGGGGCGTAGAAAAGACATGCGAATTGTTGAGAGTATGACCTAAAAGTTTTGTCAGGTTCTAATGGAGAAGTGCCGAATTTCTACGCACAACTGTGCTGCACCAATTTGCCTTCAGTGTACCTTCGATATGAGAGGCTTTCGGTGCAGAAGGCAGTAGGACGACAAGTAAAGATGTGCCATATCTCACCTTGACACACTTCCATCCAATCCTCTATTATTTCACCAGGAAATTTTTTTACAATCATCACCTACCAACTATAAAACCACTGTCGCCATCAGTCAGTCCCTCACGCACAAAAACCAGTCAACCAACTGAGCAAATAGCAAAAACCAAGTCGCACATGGGGAAATCTCCGTCGTGATAGGATCTTATTACTACCAGAGCCTACGATATGGGGTCGAATCTACCGGTTATCAGAAACCTCACCCACTG